ATTGTACTAGTATATTATCTATGTGAGTTTGTTGCGAGTTGATATTTCTATGCCTGCTTGACACAATTTTCTCATTTGATTAAGACATAAATTCTACAAATGATCTATGTGAATTGAATACGAGTTGATATATTTCTATGCGAGATTGGCACAACTTTCTCATTTGATTAAGACATTAATTTCACACATACTCTACGTCAACACAACACTACCACCCAGTATGCTGGTGCATATTTTTTTCAGATCGACTGCCCTCTAAAACTTGATTTTTGATAGTTTCCTCCGTGCTGTATATGTAAACTTTAGTAGAGATTGACTAGTGTATAACATTTTCTAATGTTCAGGCTCATACTATGTGCGAGCTGATAGAACTCCGCTCACCTATACATCGTCACACAAAGACGTTGTATCTCGTGACCTTGTCAACAAACTATTCGGCCGCACTTTAACAAGGTCGTGGATATGAAGAATATATCACGGGTAGGCAAGTTGTACCTACTGGACTTTCATCTAGGTCCTTGCAATTGCACTCTCAATCACAAGCCTATATCGTATGCTGGAAGTAAGTATCGGGCAAGTATTAAACCTACCGTGTTGTCAACGGAGGAAAGAAGTCGGTAAGAGGCGGCAGTTCAGTTGACATCGGATATGTCATTCGTTGACCCAGCAAACTGCAGAGATGTGAGAACTACCAAGGAAATTTTAATAGACTATATAGTAATCAAGATTTAGTATGGTTTTGATCGTTCTTCTTTTCTTTTCACAAGGACCGCTATGACCTGAGGATTCGTCTTTAGAAACTCTGTCGTTCAGGTCATTTGAAAAATGTTATAGTACAGGGAATATGCAGTACTGTGAGTGTTCGAGCGTAACTAAGTCATCGAATCCATTTGAGTTAGCAATCTTTATGGATAATTTATCCTTCTTGTGTTCTTGTGTGAAAGTCAAATATGTGTATGTAAATATTTTTGTTTCTTATCGCAGTACCATCCTTTTGAAATTATGTTACCATGCCTACATAGTTGAAGGTTGATGATCTTTTTCCACGCAGGGGGTATAACTGCCATGTTGGGGGTCCATAATGTTTGAGCCGTGAGGGAACCTGTCGTTAGAGGGCCTAAACAATTGAATTCATTGACCAATCACAACAAAGTTTAAGAGAAATCAAAATGTATTGATTGACAAAATCATACATTTGGAAACTTATATTCATTGATGCACAAAATTGATGAAAAAGATATCTTGATTTATGAGAATCCACTTGCGTGGTCTCTAAGTCTGTAGTGTTTCCAGACTCCTGTCCTGCTTTCGCACGAGTGTCATAAGTGCGCTCATGTGCGTTAGATACACCTGACTTATTAAATAGTCGCATTATATGTGTATACGCTTCAGGATTATCTTTCATTAATCCCTTTAGAAATAGGGGTTGAAAGACCTCGGGCTTGGACTTTATGTTATTAAACAGAGTCCTAGCTAGAGACTGACGTTTCTTAACAGTAGTGTCATTAGTAGATTGTATTTCTTGTGCTTAGAATTTGCTGTGTTGCCTTTGAACTGCTTAACGTCCAATTGGGTAGAGAGTGGAATCTCTGATTCTTTGACCCTTGTTAAGGAAGGTCTCAGAAGGGGTCCATTTGGTTGTTCCAATGGGACCTATACAATATATTATAGTATGTCTCCAGGGCGTCTTCTGGACGGCTAGGGTACCATGATATAGGAAAGTATCTACTTCCCTATCTAAATTTATTGGCTTGCATTGTATCATGCCTATTAAATTATTGAGCTATGGATCTTTACTCCGTAATGGGCAACACAGCATGATGGTAGCTTTATGTATATGACATGATTTAGTAGCTGGGCAAACAACTGCCATGGTGGATTAGCCCACGCATCATGTTTGGAGAGGTCTATTTGAAAGCCGTCTCCCTAAGGATGATTTAAAGTCCTGTAATTCGATAGTTGTGCATTATGATGTGCAGCAAACATATCTATGGTATGTGGCCCAAATATATTTTGAGCCAGTTCAAACTACCTGGGAATACATTTCCAGTCAGTGACTAGTAACTCACGTACGGATTTATTAAAGTCCGGTACGAAGCGTGACAACATATCTGGTAAATGGTTATGTATTCCTGGCAAAAAAAAATTATATCAAAATGAAACTTTGAAATTGTATCATGCTAGTGACTCAGTATTTGTGAGTCGGTTTTCATCTCTTTCATATATTGAAGAGATTTCTGATCACACATCAGCGTTTGTTATCTATAACCTGATATAATACTCCTCCTAAGGCTAAGTTGGGGTCGTCTGTTTCTATTTCAAACGGCACGCCATCGACCGGTCCTTGTACAGCAGGGGTTTGCTGGACTGCTTGTTTGAGCGCTTTAAAAGCGTCATCACACTCTTTAGTCCACAAGTCTCCTAGTTTGCCTTTAAGACATCTTAAGTGTCCAACATGTTTAAGGTAGTCAGCTAAGTGTGGTACTCCATCTGAAAAGAAGTTTACAAACCCACACATGCTGTTAACATCTCTTCCTGTAGTTGGTGTTCGCCAATCTAACAGGTGTTCTCCCTTACCGGGGTCGATTTTAATACCTTCCCCAGATATATAGTAGCCTAAGAGCTGTATTTCGCTCATTGCGGAGTAGCATTTCTTCTCGTTAATCTTAAAGTGCTGCTCGTTGAGTCTCTTAAGGACTCGTCTGACTAATGCGGCGTGTTCGCCCTTAGT